CACTGAGCCACACCGGCCAGCCAGGCGACCCTCCCAGCCCTGATGGCTTCCCTCCAGCCATGTGTTCATGCTCCAGGTGTGACCGAGACCCTCATGGGGGTCAGAACGTCCACGCAGGGATCGGCTTGAGCGGGGGCTCCACAGCCTGGGCGCCTATGACCGACGCCGAACTCAGCCACGGAAACGTCCATGCTGTTGGGAACTGCACGCACAACGTGTTTTCTCCCTGCACCTTGTGGGGCCCTCCTGCCCGGTCCACCCCTCTTCCCCCAGCGCCTGCCATCTCTGAGAGCGAGGGCACTGCGCCCCGACTGCGCGCCCCTTGCGATTTCTGCCTCGAGGATGGACGTCATCCTGCTGGTCACCATCCTGGGCATCTAGGAACACAGCCTCCCCCACAGCCTCCCCCACGCGTCCGCATCCATCCCGTTTCATCTAAAAGCAGGTCAGAGGTGGCTTCCCGCAGTCGGAGAAGTGGGTGGTGGCCAGGAGTCAGGGGAGGGGGGGGCAGAAGGAGCGAGTGGAGGGGCACTGTGCATCCGGGGCACAGGGAGAGTCAGCTGACCTCCCCGGAGAGCCGGGTGGCGGCAGGACGCCTGGCCTGGCCCCGGAGTGTTCTGAGCTCACAGCAGCACTGACACTGGGCGCGGGGCCTGAATTTTCCCAACAGAAAACTCGATCGCTTTCACATTCCCCTATAACGGGAACCGCTCCCCAAAGCTCTGAATCCAACCCAGGCTCTCTCCCCCTCACTCCCCCTCCCAAGCCAACGAGAAAATGTGGGCGGATGAACAGAAAAGACGGATCAAACCCTGACAGCCTCTGACAACACTTTAACTTGAAAATTGCTGTAAATGGGGGCATAATTCCGTGTAGGCAGATGCCAGCCAGGCTCCCAGCAAACTCCTTAAAGAGGCGCCCGAAGTCGGAGTTCACTGACTTCACCTGGATGCCCCGCCGCTGGGTGCGTCCCGCCCCCTTCCTCTGATATGGACACATAACATGTGCCCAACAGATATTCTCCGAACACATGAATAAATGGATGAATGGGTAATGTTGGAGAGCTGGTGGACCAGGGCAGGCGCCTCTGGCTCACTCCCCTGAGTTGGTGGCTGGCTCCCCCATGCCCCACCTCAGTATTCAAAGGCAGGTGCTGATGGAGCCGTTGGGAGAGGAACAGAGAGTCCCAGGTGGGGCTCAGGGTCTCCTGTTGTGTCCTCAGGAGGCCGCCTGACAGCATCCTGGTCTTTGGGTGCAGGTCCCGGTGGCTGAGTGCCAGCTCCTGGGAGTCCCCCCACCAGGGACTGAGCAGCCTGACCCCTTCCCCAGGAGGCCTTGACCTCTTCTCTCTCTCTCTCTCTCTCTCTCTCTCTCTCTCTCTCTCGGGCAAGGGCAAGAAATGAGGATGGTTCCACGCAAAGCCTTTCCCACCGCACTTTCCCGACAGCCCTCCCTCTGAGGACATGGGGTGGGTGCCCCCCATCCCAGCCCGGCCTCGGCCTCCCCAGCGGCCTCTCCTCCAGGGAAGGGAAGGGCCAGGCAGAGCGGGAGGTGCCTGCGCCCCAGGCCACGTCCTGTGCTCACCCCTCTTCTTGCGGCTGTGACCCTGACGCCCTCCCGCCCCTGCCCAGCGGGCAGCCAACAGGGGGCTGCGAACGATGAGTGACAGGTGCCGTGAGGGGTGCCTCAGGACAGGGGGCAGGTGTGGGGCGGAGGGAGAGGGGTAACCT